CCGTGTGCTTTTAACTATACATTGTTTTTTTTTATTTCATGAATTGGCTCTGCTCTCGCTCAGATATTGCGTGTACACGCTCAAACGTTGTCCTCGCATCACTGAACACCAGAAGAGCTTTTTTTCTAATTCAGGTGAAGAGTAGCCAAGACTTTTCTTACTAAATGGAAGCAAACTGGTTATAGTCAGCCTTCTCTAGTTATTTAATTATTTAATACTTATTTTAGTTAAGTGCTTAAATTGTAAATAGTGGTTGACCGATTTTGTTTTTTTGACAGCCGATGCCGATATCTTAGAGAGCAGGGTGGCCGATGGCCGATATGAAGACGATATATATAAGTATATTTTTTATTTTAATTATAATTTTTATTTATTTTAATTAATGTTTGAGAAACTTGAAATAATTTGAAAATGAATTATATAAAAAATAAATGTGTAAAATAAACATACTTATACTTTAGATGACAACTTCCTGATTCTATAATTCTATTACAGTATTTTTCACAAATAAAGAAATATTTTAAAATATATAAACAAAAAGAAAGTAAACACTGTAACCAACAGGGCACTCGGTAATCTGGGAAGTTTGTGTGCTTTGGGAATCATATTTTTTCAACTAAAGCCAAGGTAACACTCATTTTACATGCAGCACGCAGTAAAAATGACATGAATATGACAGTGCGCAAATGCATAAATCAGCATAGTTTGAAATAACGAGTTTAAAGTTGATCACGCATCTCCAGTGAAGCTGAATTCTCCTCCTTTCCGGATTCAATTCGCACGGATCGACCGTCACGCAGAGCACACGCGATCAGGCAATATACAAATACACACTTCACAAGATCTCACAGCTGGATTCGACTAAGTCTGAAAGGTTTGTGAAATTAAATGTTCATTAGTCATTTAAAGGTTTGTTTAAATGATATGTGTATTTGCTGAATGCTGACGGCAAACGAGAAAGTATTATGTTTGCCTTTCTGTTACTAATAATATAAAAGCAATCGTTATAATACTTTTTGTATACCTTTTAATTCATTTGTTCAACAGTTCAATCTGATTATTAGACAGACTTCTATCTGTATTAGGCAGAACTGGTAAATGACAACAACAAACAATGAAGAGGGAGAATGTGAGCACTGTGTGCTCTGACGCTGCCATTCTCAGCGCCGTCAAAATAAAAGTCCCCCCTTGAACACATCAGCCAGGCAGAAAAACTTATCGGCCGATGCCGATATTTGAAAAATGCCAAATATCAGCCTTGGCGATATATCGGTCGACCACTAATCCTAGATGTATATGACTTTCTTCTTTCAGACGAATCCAGTCTGAGTTATATTAAAAATTGTCTTTGATCTTTCAAGCTGTTTCATGGCACTCAGCGG